ACTTCAACTGGGACTCGACTATTTTCTCCAGTACTTTAGAAACAAATCGGAGTTTGGAGACAGGTCGGAAGTTGGAAACGACTGAGGGGTCAAGGTTTTTTTTTTTTTCAGGAGAGGCTGGACAGCAGCATGTTTAAAAGATTTTGGCTCCACGCCAGTGGATAAACTACTGTTTACTATGGCAAGAATGGATGGACCTAGAGTAGGAAAAACCTCCTTTAGTAGTCGAGGGGGGACCACATCAAAGGGGGAACCAGAAGGTTTCAAGCTGCACATGACCTGCTCTAGAGAAGATAGAGTGATGGGGTCAAAATGGTCAAAAGGAGCTACAGATTGAGGTGGGATAGATGGGTCATGAGTTGGAGGGGAAATGAGAGCCCTAGTGGTCACAATTTTTTCTACAAAGAAATGTAGGAAGTTGTCGCACAGCTCAGTCGAGGCTTCCAGAGGTGATGGTTCAGTGAGGTGGAGAACAGAGTTTAGGGTGAAGAAGAGGACACGTGGGTTGTGAGAGTTTGAGGTAATTATATCAGAGAAGAATTTTGATTTAGCAGCTTTTACTGTTTTCTGATAACAGCGCCAACTCTCTTTAAGTATCTGGAAAGAGACCTGCAACCTGTCTTTCCTCCACTTTCGCTCCGCCCTCCTACATTGCTGCCTAACGGCCTTGGTGACATCACTCAGCCATGGTTCTGCTCTGAGTTTTGATTTTTTGGTTTTAACAGGTGCAACATGATCCAGAGTCTTTAAGCAGACAGAGTTGAACTGGGATGTCAGCTCCTCAGTGGTGGTGAGAAACACTGGGGGCTGAATGATCATTTCAAAGTTATAAACATCTGTGAAATGTGCGGCAGTGAAGTGGTTAACGGTCTGAGTGCAACGTGCAGGAATGCGCGGCTTAGGAGTTAGATGGGGGAGGGTGAACTCAAACCGGACTGGCATGTGGTCTGAAAAAACATTATCACCAATAACAAGATTATTGACAGTCATACCATGAGTTAAAACAAGGTCCAGTGTATGTCCACGCTCTTGGGTGGGACCGTTTACATGCTGAGTTAAATTAAATGAGTCCAATAAATCTAAAAAGTCCTTAACCAAGGGTTTCTCAGGACAGCACACATGCAAATTAAAGTCCCCAATAATGAAAAGATGCTCATATTTTGGTATGATTTCAGCCAAGAAATCAGAAAACTCATTTATGAAATCCTTAGACCGAGGTGGGCGGTAGACGACTGCAAATAATGTCGCAGATGAATGTCCGAGTTCAAAGACACTCAGCTCAAAGCTGGCGCGGGAAACTGGGATGGGCAGTTGTTTACAGTCAAAAGTTGATTTGAATATTGTTAATAATCCACCACCGCACTGGCCTGATGGCCGCGGGGCGTTAAAACACAGACTGTTCGGTGGCAGTAATTCCGTCAAGGCACTAGACTCACCCGGAGACATCCAAGTCTCTGTGATGCACAGAAAGTCCAGATCGTGCTCTTGAAAGTAATCCCTGAGGATAAAAGCTTTGTTGGTAACAGATCTTGCGTTGACCAAACACATCTGGATATTGTCCAAAGTAGAGCCAGTAGCGGTGGAGTTAGCATGTGCTAATGGCCGCAGGTTTTCAATAACATCCCCTCCAGGTCGGTCCGGGCTGCGCAACGGCTGACAACTCCCGCTGGTTACCTGGTCCGGGCATGTGGGAAGCTGACAAAGGAGACCATGACCGCCAGCTGAAGAGGAAGATGCAACGCGCAGAGCTTTCAGCTTCACCAGCTGACCAGCGCGTTTTCCCCGGCGTCTGAAGCGAGATCTCCGGGCAGGCAGGTGAGGAACGCAGCGGAGGTAAGCTGGCACGTCCGCCAGCAGGGGGGGGGGGGGGGGGGGTCCAGAGGTACGCTGATAATGGTCAAAATAAGCGACTTCAGTGACAGAAAAACGAAGATCCAAAAGTAGTTGTAAGTCATATACCAGCAGAGAGTTGATGTCACAGATGTGAAATGCAAAAAACAAAAATAATCCGAACACCATCAGCAGAGGTGGATTGCAAGCCATGTACATGGGCGCCATCTTACCAGAACTCTCTGGTACAATACAATATATATTTGATGGCCACCACAACCCAACTGAGTGTGTATCTGATAAACACCTGAATCTAAACACCTGTGTGAGCATGCTTATCAATATAAGGTTTCTCATAAAAATGTTCAATAGTGGATGTAGTGACCCATAAACCCGTCCCCGCAGTACATGAAGGTAACACAGGGAAGCCCGGAACCACAGACACACAGTGGCCCCCAAGCCCGGAACTCTGGTAGTCCCCCAACAGGGACACCCGCACCCCCCAGAGAGAGAAGCAAAGGGAAGCCCCGGGTGATCCCCAGCAACCACAATGCAGACACCCCCAGGAGGCCGTAGCGACGAGTCAACAGGCCTCGCCGTCAACCTGCCCCTCCAGAGTAGATCCGGCCATGGACACCAAGCCCCGAGTCCCGAGGTCATACCACCCCCCAAAAGAGGCCTGACAGAGCCAGGGCACCCAGGCTCCCGCAGGCAGCCACTAGGGCGGGACTGCACACACCCCACCACCCAGCCCCAGCTGCTGAGAGCCGCCAATGCACCGGCGGCAGGGGGACCCACCACTGGGGGGGTGCACTACCCACCAAATGGGGGGCCAAAACTGGTCTAAGAGAGGGGGGCCACCCAAAACCCAACCTGAGACAAACAGGCACACAGAGACAGCCCGACAGAGCGTCTGTCGGGCCGTCCATGCGCCCCACCTGCCCAACAGTGACCACAAGCCGACCCCAGGCCGGGGGCCAGAGCAGCAAGGAGCAGCAGCTGAGGAAGACGACCGGCCCAGCGCACCAATGCATCCCTAAAGCCCCACACCACAGGCCCGGAGAAGCCCCGGCATGCCCCCCCTGCCCCCCCCCCCCCCCCCACAGCACCCCGCACCGTGAATGTCACATCAGGGCGACCAGCCAGCACTTCGTCGAAGTTAAGCCATGCCCCCGACCGCCGCCATGCACTACTAATGACCACACATACACAACCACAGCTGACCTCCTGCCAGAACCCGGCAGCCACCCCCAGCCAAAGGGCTGGCCATCAGAACCAGGAACCCTGAAAAAAGGATCCAAACAATCCAGGGAGAACCAGAGCACCAGCCCCACCCCCAATCGCCCCCAAAGGCCCAATACCCACCCACAGCCCAGACCCCAACCAGGCAGCCTACCCGCCCCCGACCCCAAATGTCAGACGGAGAATGAGGGTTTAAGAAAAGCTGGAATTAATACAGTAGTAATACAACTGTAATACCTGCCTTAATACAACCTTCTTAGGGCTGGACCTGGCTCAGGTTCCATACATGTCTACGGGAATTGCCATATCACTCCTTATACATATTAAGATCTGGGTGTAACTCATTTCGGTCCGGTTCTGTCCGGACATGCCTGAGTCACTCTGAGTTGTTTTTCTCTCTTATTTTCCTTATTAGGATTTGCTTTTTGCTTAGAGCTGTTTTCAAGGTTTGCCATTGTGAAATACTCTCTGCTTGTAAAACTTCTTACTTACACAATGCTTCTAAAAACATTTTCTGAGAACACAGTTTTCCTCCTTCTTCATTTCTTCAATGTTATGAACAACTTAAAACAGAATACATTTAAATCACAAAGATTATAGTATCACTTGATTATTTACTTGTTTTTTGGTTATAATACACAAATCATATTTTCACTTTAAAGCATAACAGCTTCAGCTGAGGGAAATGAGCACTATTCCTTCACTTTTTTCTCCCCACATTCTTTCCACTTGCGTGTGTGTATGTTTGAGTGTGTACGTATATGAGTATGCTGGTTGTATGAGCGTGTGAGTGTGTGCGTGCATGTGTGTGTTTTATGCAGTGTGTGAGTGCATGTGTCTTTGTGTGTGTGTATATGCATGTGTGTTTGTGTGGTGTGTGAAAGTGTAAGGTTGTGTGTTCCTCCAGCATCTGTCCCTCATTATCTCAGCCTGGAAACTTCTGGGCTTTTCCACACAGGCCCAAAACAAAACATGTTGTGACACGCCAGACTGATTCCATCGCAGCGGGCCTCTATTGACCCCCACCCCCCAAGCCTTTTCGCCTCAACGGCCACACCGCTCCCTGCCGTCGGTGCCCTCCTTTCGGAGCTGGTGCCCTCCTTTCGGAGCTGCCTGGCATAATCCGGGAGGCTGCTGACACGAAGGGACTTTCTGTCCCTCTCCTTCCCTGCCCAGATCGGATGATCTAGCGGGAAGGTTTGGCTCCAAATCGGCTCGCCGTCCTGATCCCATCTGGCCTCGTTTCCCAGCAGTGATGTCCTACTGGAACGAGGCTGTAGCCAGACCTGGTAAATTGAGAGCGCCCGTCTCCACTTTCGCTCCCATCACCAGAGTGGAGGGGTTTACCGAGTGGAACTTTCCCTCAGTACCCCCCCGGAGCCGAGTCTGGCGGAAGCTTTCAGACTGAGGTTGTCCAGGTTGAACCAGCATCCTGTCCCTCCCGGGAAGCATGACCAGACGGTGACATCCCTCTCCAATCAAGCTCACCAGTGTGCATTCCAGGTGGCCGCAGCAAACAACAATGTGGCGCTGTTGGCATACAGCGTTTCAAAGAGGCTGGAGAATGCAGATCTGCCTGAGGTGACGAAGAGCTCCCTCTGTAAGGCATCTGACATCTTCCTCAGCCTGTGCACCTCTTCTGCTGTCTGCCTGTTCCAGATCGCAGCTTGGATGACAATGATTCAGAGGTCCACCTGGCTCCGTCACTACCCCTCCCTGCCAGAGAAACTGCATAAAGACCTAATGGAGGGCCCCATCACGATGGACACGCTGTTGGGGACCAATTTCAAGGCCATGCTCGAAAAATCGAAGAAGTCGGAGGAGGTGTCAGAGACTGTGTACCGGAGGTGTCAGAGACTGTACACCGGAGGTGTCAGAGACTGTTCACCATCTCATCAAGCTGCACGCCTCATCCCGCCCCCTGGAAGGATCGTCGTGGTCAAAGACAACAACAGTGACATTCCACAGCTGCAGCAGCATCCTCCAGCTCCGCTCCGCCGCCAGCACCGCCCGTCAGAGAACAGCCCTCCTCATCCCGGCAACCGGTGGTTCAGCGTTTCCCCAGAGATCGCCAACAGGAGGCGCCCTGGGACAACAAACCGCAGGGCTCACGGGGGAGAAGATTCAAAAAATGACAGTTTGTGGAGGATGTGTGTAATAATGACACAATTTTTGAAATAAAACATGAACATCATTCAAAGATTAAAGTGTCTGATTTTAGCCTGTTTGTCAGCTCGAATGACCTCACAGCGGCTTCTCTTCACACATCCTCCACACAAAACGAGCCGGTGTCCTTAAAACAGGTTTTTCAAAATCACTGCAGCTCAAAGATAAACACGAGACGCTCACATGACACAGCAGTCGAAAGTGAATGTGGTCCGCAGAACGAGTCCAGCGCGATAACTCGCTCTCAGCCTGAGCTGCACGCTTTTCACCGCAGCTGTGTCAAACATGCGCTCCCGCGATGCCAGCAGTCCTCACCAAAATGGCGCTACATTGATGGATGCGCGCACACCTCCCCCCAGCACACGTCGGCTCGCATCAGCATGAATGTGAGACCGCAGAACGAGTCCAGTGGGAAACCTCGCTCTCAGCAGGAGCTGCACACTTCTCACCGCAGCGGTGTCAAACGCACGCTCCCGCGGCGCTGGCAGCATTCACCCCAACAGCGCCGCATTGATGAAGGCACGCACACCTCTCCTCAACACGCGCCGGTTCACATCGACATGAATGTGAACCCGCAGCCTGAGCGCGGCACAGAGGTGCGCTCAGAGCCCTTTCGTGAAAGACTCATCTTGGGTCATGCGGAGCACACTTCCGCGACGCATGACGGCGGTCAAGGCTGTAAACTGTAAACTATGGGCGGCCGTGGTGCAGTGGTAGTGGCAGCCGACCTCTGATCGGAAGGTTGGAGGTTCGAATCCCGACTTCCCACACCATGTGCCGTTGTGTCCCTGGGCAAGACACTTAACCCCGAGTTGCTCCCGGTGGGACTGGATGGCGCCTTGCATGGCAGCCTACCGCCGATTTTAGCCTGTTTGTCAGCTCGAATGACCTCACAGTGGCTTCTCTTCATACATCCTCCACACAAAACGAGGTGTTTCCTGGTTCCAAAACGGACCAGAGGAATGAGACCCATTTTGGACCTGTCAGTTTTCAACAAGGCGATCGTGGACAGACCGTTTCACATGTTGACAAACAGACAACTGTTAGACAACATTCAGAGAAACGATTGGTTTATCTCCATCAATCTGAAAGACGCCTACTTCCACATACCAATCAACCCAAAGCACAGAAAGGTCCTGCGCTTCTCCTTTCAAGAGATTCAGTATCAGTACAATAGGCTGCCGTTCAGTTATTCCCTCGCACCTCGTACGTTCTCAAAGTGTGTGGAGAAGGCCCTGCAACCGTTACACAGAGCAGGGATGAGAATTTTGTTTTACATAGTTTTACATAGAAAATTCTAGATGGCTCCCATGATGTAGGCTGCGTCTCGGAGAGCTCCTGATGGAAAACTAATTTTTATAACAGTATTCTCGCTATCTCGCTGCCGGAGGAGACCCGGTCTGCCACCGTTTGGACCTGCGAGCCGCTGAGGCCGAGCCCGAGCCTCTGAAGCCGAGCCCGAGCCTCTGAAGCCGAGCCGAGCCTCTGAAGCCGAGCCTCTGAAGCTGAGCAGCTGAAGCCGAGCTGTTTGCGGAGGAGACCCGGTCCGCCGCCGTTTGGACCTGCGAGCCGCTGAAGCCGAGCTGTTTACGGAGGAGACCCGGTCCGCTGCCGATTGGACTTGCGAGCCGCTGAAGCCGAGGAAGCTAGACTACAACTGTCGGATCTGGGAGCTGTTGCAACCGGAACCTGGTCTGTCGCTGTTTGGGCCTGCGAGGTGCTGGACCGAGTGAATCGTGAGACCACGTGGGACCTGGGGGTTGTTGCCGCTAGGCCTTGGCTAGGCCTCGCTAGGCCTCGGCTAACAACATAAGCCTGTGAACCTCTTGGCTAGATCCTATGCTTCTGAGAGTTAAGACCAATAATCCAGAAGTATCGTGAGTAATGCCGAGCAAACACAGAGATAGGAGACAAGTGTCAGAAAATAATTCAGAAGATATGGAAGAAGTTAAAAAATCTTTGAACTTTTTGAATGCTGAACTAACTAAATTGAGTGCTGATGTGACTAAATTATCAGCTAAATGTGAATTACTGACAGGACTGTTTGAAGAAGTGAGACAATTGAAAGAACTGATGACTAATAAAGATAGGAAAATAGCTGAACTAGAACAAAAAATAGACGACATGGAACAATACACAAAAATAGACAACTTGGTGATCACTGGACTGGAAGTTGGGAACCGGACATATGCAAGAGTTGTTGCTGGTACTAGCACTACAGAAGACGCACCACAGGAAGAACTACAGACTCTGGAGGAGCAAGTGGTGATTTTTTTACAAAACAAAGACATTGACATAGAACATGAGGACATTTCAATCTGTCACACCCTGCCCAGCAAATTTGATAAAGCCAAGCCATCCATAGTCATTAAGTTCGTTAGCAGAAAATCTAGAAACAATGCAATAATGCAAGCAAAAAAACTGAAGGGAACAAATGTTTACATAAACGAACATCTAACTAAAAAAATGGAAATATTGCACGTGAAGCAAGGTTGTTGAAAAAACAGAAAAAATAGCATCAACTTGGACAAGAAATGGAAACATTTGGATCAAAATACAGGAAAGATCTCAGGCTAAAATAATAAAAGACCTGAAGGATCTGGAAAGACTAAAATGAGCTCAGGAGATGATAGATGATAAATCATTGACATAACTTCACAAACAAGAAATAAACAAAATAGGGGGACCTCTAGGGGGCGATTATGGAGTAGGAAGCAGAATCTTTGCTCTCCCACAAACTTTTCATTTAAATACCTACTGAGCCAATTTAACAAGTGAACTTTGGTTAAATTATTAGAACTTGTCACACTTTGTGTAGCAATGCCGCCCAAAATGTCTAAAACGGGTGAAAAAGCTGAATCTGAGCCTCAGATTAGCAAAGCGGATTTGATAGCCGCGTTAGCTGACCACAAGCTAGCGCTGATCTCCGAACTTAAAAAGGACTTCAAAGAAGTGAACGAGAAGTTGGATGGACTCCAGGAGGTTGTCAGAAATCATGACGAGCGCTTGACTTCACTTGAGGACAACGCCGAGTCACTTCATGTGCGTTTGGAAGAAGTTGAGAAATGCTGCGAGGGGCTCAGGTCCGATAATGGTCAACTCAAGGCTAAGCTAACTGAGCTGGAGGGGAGAAGCAGGAGGAGTAACGTTCGTCTTATTGGCCTGCCCGAGGACATCGAAGGACCACAACCAAGCAAGTTCTTTTCCCAGTTACTGTGGAATGTTTTCGGACATGATATCTTCCCCTCGGCGCCGGAGCTGGACCGGGCCCATCGCAGCCTGATACCCAAAACGGGCCCTAAAGGCAGGCCTCGGCCTGTCATAATTTGCTTCCACCGATATCAACACAAGGAGCTGGCGATTCGTGAAGCCCAGAAAAGAAGGAACTTGGAGTATGAAAACAACTCATTCAGGATGTATGATGACTACTCTCCAGATGTGGCCAAACAAAGGAAAGAATACAGGTCGGTGATGTCATCCTTGTATAAACTGGGTCTAAAACCAGCGCTGATGTTCCCAGCAAGACTTCGGATTACTAACACAGACGGTACCCGCACAACATTTGGCTCCGTGTCTGATGCTGAAAAGTTCATCCAAACTTTTAACAGTTCTGCCTGACTGATGGCTCTGGAGGTGCAGAGCTACAGAACGGATTCAGATAATGTATAAACGTTTAATTATTGAGGTTGTTGCAACTGGTCTATTTTCACCTCAGTAAGTAATAGACATTATTTTTGTTATGGGCTGTTCGGTGTATGCCCAATTTTTTTCATTTTTCTATTTTTTTTTATTATTAATGACAAGATTTTACTTTGGCTTGGTGGTTTTATTTGTGTTTAATATTACCTGTAAGGCGAGGAGGGGGAGAAGATTTATTTAGGTAGTAGTAGCATAGAGGTGTTACATTTAGAGAAGTTAGGTGTGCTGTTTGTTCCAGCAGCTATTTTCACCAGGGGGTTATTGGGAAGGGGTGGGGTGGGAAGTGGGGGGTTTACTGTCACTGTTAAAATGATGTTTTTCTTTTCGCTCAGCCAGGATGTATTTCTTTATTTGCCTGATACCTTGACATTCTCTGTTCTGTTTTTTCTTTTTTATTATGAGTAATATGGCAGGCAACTTTAAAATGATTACCTGGAATGTTAAGGGTCTGAATCATCCCATTAAAAGGAAAAAGGCCCTCACACATATGAAAAATTTAGGTGCAGGAATTATGTTCCTTCAAGAAACTCATCTCAATAACCGAGATAGTATTCGTTTAAAGTGTGGGTGGGTGGGGCAGCTTTTTCATTCAACTTTTCAGGGTAAAGCCAGAGGAGTTGCAATACTTATTAATAAAAATATATCATTTACACCTGCAGTGGTGGTTGCTGATCCTAATGGAAGATATATTATTGTAACTGGAAAACTTTATAATGTGAATGTGACATTAGCTAATGTTTATGCTCCAAATTTTGATGATCCTCAATTTTTTTCTCGTCTCTTTAGGCTGCTCCCGAATTTAGATACTCATCCGCTGATTATGGGAGGGGATTTCAACTTATGTCTTGACCCTGTGCTGGACAGGTCTTCGGTTAAGCCGGGCTATATTGTATCCAAATCGGTAACGTATATAAAGTCCTTTCTTTCAGATTATGGTATATCAGATCTTTGGCGTCTTTTGCACCCTCAGGACAGACAATACTCTTTTTTTTCCCATGCCCATGGGAGCTACAGCAGGATTGATTATTTCTTTATTGATAATAAACTAACATCATACGTGCAGAACTGTGAATATCAACCCATAGTGGTGTCTGACCATGCTCCTCTCTCAATTGAATTTAGGATACCTGAAGTAGGGGCCCAAAGAAAGTACTGGCGGTTCAACTCCCTCCTGTTGTCTGATGAGAACTTTGTTAAATTTATGTCGAACCAGATCTCCCTTTTTTTAGAAATTAATATGACCCCAGATGTTTCAATTTCTACTGTCTGGGAAGCCTTCAAGGCATATATAAGAGGTCAGATAATATCCTTTGTGGCTAAGAAGAAAAGGGACTCTATGTCCAAGCAAATCGAACTCGAGAGTCAAATCGCAGACTTGGACAGCAGAAATGCACAAGCTCCATCCCAACAGTTGTATAAAGAACGCTGTAGGCTCTGTGCAGAACATAATTTAATTACATCTCAACCAATAGAATATTTACTGCTGAAAAATAGAAGTTATTCATATGAACATAGTGATAAAGCTGGGGAGGTTCTGGCAAGACAACTTAGGGGAGCAAGAGCCAAAATGACAATTGGTGGGATAACAGCTCAGGATGGCAGCATTATCACAGACCAGCAAGGAATAAATAAGGCCTTTCAATGTTATTATAATAAATTATATAGCTCTGATAACAGCTGTAATACTAATCTTTTGCAGAACTTTTTTGGACACTTGCCTATCCCCAACCTAAGCCCTGATCAAGTATCCTCTCTGGATTCACCTATTTCAGAGCAGGAGATTGTAGAGGCAATCAAATTATTACAACCCAAAAAATCACCTGGTCCAGATGGCCTGCCAAATGAGTTTTATGCAGCATTTTCTAAACAACTGGCTCCAATTTTGGCAAATATGTTTAGACACTCCTTTGGTAGAGGATCCCTTCCTTCTACCTTGAATCAAGCCTGTATAACACTATTGCTTAAAAAAGATAAAAACCCCACAGAATGTTCATCTTACAGGCCGATATCATTACTGAATAGTGATTACAAAATATTGGCAAAAGTGTTAGCCTGCCGCTTGGAGCGAATTTTACCGAGTGTCATATCTCCAGACCAGACAGGATTTGTCAAAAACAGACGCTCTTTTTATAATATACGTCGTTTATTGAATATCATGCATACCCCTAGTCAAAATGACTCTGAATGCCTTCTCTCCCTGGATGCAGAAAAGGCTTTTGATAGAGTGGAATGGACCTATATGTTTGAAACTTTGGAGAGATTTGGTTTTGGCAGGACATTTATATCGTGGGTTAAGCTATTGTATTTCTCGCCATCAGCCATGATTTTGACAAATAACTTCTATTCTAAACCATTTAGCTTGTTCCGCGGGACCCGGCAGGGCTGCCCACTTAGTCCTTTACTTTTTGTTTTGGCCATTGAGCCGTTGGCTCTGGCTATAAGGACACAGAGCAATATTAAGGGTATTACCAGGGGTAGGGTGGAGCATAAACTTTCTCTTTATGCTGACGACCTTTTGTTGTATGTGTCTGAGCCAGAACTGACTATCCCTCACATATCGACACTCCTCTCTCAGTTTGGAGAAATTTCTGGGTATAAAGTAAACATGCATAAGAGCAAACTTATGTCTTTGAATTCCAAATCCCTAGACTATATCACAAATAATACACCTTTTGAGATAGCTACTCATAGTTTTGTTTATCTGGGCATTACGATAACAAAGACATTTGAAGATCTTTACAAAAATAACTTTGATAAATTGCTTATTGATG